ACCAGCAATTATTTCAGGGTATTTTTCTGCCTCTACTTCCATTTTTGTCCTGGAGCATGGAGACATATTTTCCAGTGCAGGATAACACAGAAATAAGTACCATAATCTCACTGGTGTCTACTCTTTGCATAAAGCCATGAGCATGGCTGTGCCTAAGCTGTTTATTAAGGCCAAGAACCCAGGAGGCTTCTCTGGGCACTGTCACACCCCAGCAGAGTCTGTCTGCCCTGGGCAGAGTTTGATCACTATTGAGTTTCTCTCCATCTTTACTACAACTTCTAAAACTTTGATTCCTGCAGGAATCAAATTTAATCTGTTTCAGTGTATTTTATGCTCCTCTGATTTATTCAAAGCTGAATAAAAGCATTGCAATGCTTAGGTTTCCTATTTTACTTTGGGAACTATATTATTAGTAGCCCCATTCAGGAACTAGATTAACTTGAGTCAAGCAGATTAAAAACCCAAGCTACACCTGTGGTATTCAGCTTGCTCTTTAATCTTATCCACTAAATTAAAAAAGCTCTGGATAAAAATGAAACAGGTTAACCTATCACTTGTCTCATGGAAGGGTCTTTAGGGTAAAAGAAGACTCAGTTCTCCTGCAAGCCTGGTAAATTTTCCCCTTCTTTGCTGAAAAATACCACCTCTGTACCAAATTATTCTGTTTCATTGAACAAAACAAAGCATCCTTTTAGGCTGTACATGCAAGAAAATGGTTTTGCTGTATTGCCAAATACAAAGAAAAACTCTATATTTCTTATAATTGATTGGTACTACATGAAAAATTAAAGTGATTTATTTAAAAAAAAATATTCGGTAACCAATAGATTTATTATTTGATACTCCATAATTTAAGATTACTCTTTTTTATTATAGTCTAGTTGCATTCTAATGTTATGTGAGATTTCTGGTTTTTTATGTTAACTAAAATGGAGTAAAAGGGTGAAAATAGTACCTGTATGACGATACATAGATGAATGCTTTTAATATAATATGCACATTTGTATATAAGCATATATGAGATGACCAGCAAGTAAATACTTCATTTTATTCTGTATAAGGTAGAATGTACCTAAATGAGCTCAGACAGATTGAACAATAAAACTAACATGACAAAATGGGTTTTAAGTCAGGAAACAGAACAGTAGAACAATTTCCTGAGCTATTTAAATGCTTTCATTTAAGAAATGTCATTACATACTTGAATTACACTGGAATATAATTATATAAACACCACAAACAACAATGTTTTACCTAGAAAAACAGAAGTTAAGGGAGGAGAACTATTTCCTGGAATATTTCTTCATTTTAAGATCAGGTTCTGGTTGTTATAAGAAGTAAATCAAAAGAAATGTTCTAGATTTATTTTAGGAGTCTAAAATTCTATGAGTCTAAAAGGCTAAGTATGTGTATAAATATGTGTATACATTTATACACAGGTTTATCTTAAAATATCTGATAGGTGAATAGCTCCCCATATTTAGTTCCCTGCAGGTTCAAGATGCAGCCATTATACAAAAGCCCTCCTAAATTATTTTGGTCTCCTTAATCAGAATTTTAGCTTCACAATTTAGCATCACTGAGGATGCTTATGAAAAGACTGCTTGTGAGCAATTAATTCTAATATTTTCATAGGCTGAGTCAGAGGAGTGTATTTTGCTACTCACATATTTTTGATTTTGATATTATATGTGCTATAAATTCACCACAAGGATCTGCCTAGTGTGTCTAGCTGAAAAGAAGGATCACAGAAGAGTATTATCAAAATATAGAGACTAAATGAACAATCTGAAAAATTGTGTTTACTCAAGAATTTCAAAGTTAAGTGAATTTTAATAGCCCAAGAGGGGACAGATGAAAAAATAAAGCATGTATTGTAGAATGCTTGCTATATTTTAGAACTTTTAATATTGAAGTATTTGCAAATGAGCACAAGCTTACTAGCTGATCTTGCATCACTGATTTCAGGGATTAGTGTAAAAATAACTATGAATAGAATTTGAGCCTTATCCACTCCCAAAATCTGAAAGACAACTGTGGCTCTTCTTTCTTGCTTGCTCATCAACCCAAAAAACCCTGATTCAAACCTGTGTATGTATTACGAGTAAAGGTCACTGTCCTGCCCATAGTAACAGTAAGGGACTTGAAGCTGTATTCTGTCACATTGTGAAACAAATTATTTCGGTCTCACACATGTATTTCTTCATCCATTATTCCATAAAACTGTAGGTTATTACCATGCAGCTCTCCTCTTCAAAATAATTTTTGTCTTCTACTTAGCATTTGAGAAAAATGCTTGCAAGTAACCTTCTCCCCAGCTGAATAGGGCTCATGGAGGCAGATCCAGTCATCTCCCTCCTCTCATAGTCCTGGCTGATAGCACTTGGGTTTGAAATACTACCTAAGTATTTTAAATGCTGTTAATCTAGCAAAAGTTTTTGAGAGCTTTTTTTCTCTCTTTCTTATGCAGACATGAAACAGGGACATTAAAAGAAATGAAAAGAAAGGCAAGTTAGGCTACTCAAATCCCTCAGGATAGGGAAAACTGCTCTAAAGAGAATTAAACCAAGTACAAGGGGATGTGAAGTAAAGTGTAATACCATTTCAGAAAAAAATTAGGTCAATAATATTCTTTCCCACGCAATAGCATATACTCTTAGCCATCAATAGGAAGTGCTTTTCCTTCAGACTATGTTTATTTATATCCCAGAATGAAAGTGATGTAGGTACAGAGGGATCAGAAAATTCTGACATGGCTGTTATGAACAGAACTGTTCTTTAGTACTGTTTCAGATTAAGATTATGCTTGCTTTAAAATACAGCTGGTACTTTAAAAAGACAGTCCACATGGTCAATAAATGTTCAATCACCTAAATATGTAATTTTGGAAACTCAAGATGTAGATTTTGGAGGTAATTTGTTTAGCCCCAACTACATACTTGTTGCTGTAGTATGTCCCAGCTGCAATCTGTTTTGTAGGGGGTGATGTGCTCATGCAGGGTCCCTGCACACACCCTAAGAAAACTGCTCACTTGAACTAGTAAAAGAAGGAACATAAATCATACAGAAAGACTTGGAAAAAAGAACTTACACACATAATGCTCTTTTTACCCCATAAGTGTCAAGAATGCCATATCAGAAGGAGTGGATCCATCCTAAAAACCAGAATATTCCGGGCACTGCAGAAAAAATTTAAAGTCATAGGAATACAAAGAAATTAAAGTAAATTTTTGTATTTGAGGTTACTGCAGAATGAAAATGTGAACTCAAAAGTATTTCTTCTCCCTGAATGGTCTATTAAAGTAAAATGACATGTTTCTATAGTAATATGATTAGAAGTTATTAAATTCTTTAAGATGGAGACTGTCTTCAGTAAACGGCCATGGAACACCACAGGATTTTATTATTTAAAGTGGTTAACAACAGCAGGTTTTGTTTCTAAGTCTTATATGGCCTTGATTCAGTACAGACTGAGAATAAATTCCCCAGAGGTTTGTACATCAGTTATATTGAGGCAGCTACACATGGAACCACAGAACAATGGGGTGGGAAGAGCTGGAAAGTCACAAAGAGGGGATAAAGGTGGTGAAAAATCTCCTAAGACTCAGGTGGTTAGACAAGTCTCCTCAGAAAACTTGTTAAATTTGTAAGGGCCACAAGGACTTGAGTCACTGAGCACTGCAGAGTTGATTATAGTAGAGCATATTGACAATTCCAGCTTTTGACCAAATGGCTGCAAACAGCCAGCCTTTCTGAGGATTCTTCTTCACAAGGAAAGGAGAAGGCAGATAAAGTGTACCAGAAGTGTGTGGCTCCACAAGTAAATTTCAGCCACTCATAGAAAAGTCTCCCTTACCTGCTATTGTTATATATTTGTCCCTGCCTACCTTCAAGGAGTGAGCCAGGTTTATTTATTTATCCAGACTATCATTTAGTGCTGTTACATAATCTCTCTTCTCTAGAGGAAACAAGCTCAAGGCTAACACTGCCTTGTAGTTCAGACAAAACAAATGACCCCATATTTGACTTGTCATCAAAAGGAGAGGGATTTAAAAAACAGAGCCTTTTTTTTTTTTCTTCCTCCTTTCTGTAGTTCACAGAATAGTATAGGAGAATCCAATTAAGTCAGACAAAAAGGAAGAGAAAAAAACAATTTTGAAATACTTTTGTGCATATTTTGATTTTACATATTTTGATTTTTGTTACCAGACTCTGAGGACCAGAGGTATAAAACCAGATGATCTAAAAATGGCAGACACCTTATATAGTAAATTAATATGTTGGCAGGTTTGCAGACTTTCCACTTCAGGCAGAGAACCTAAGAAAAATCTTTTTGCAGGTGCCTACAAACATCCTCCTTTCAGCCGCATTAAGGAATTGCTAAAATACAGCATGCAATGTCATGCAAAATGTCTGTACACATCACAGATATGGCGTGGAATGAGTGCACAAAGAAAGGGTCACCCTTAGCTGGCAGTACATACTGCTCAAGCTGGTAGTAGAAAATAAGGCATTCTCACAAAGCCAACAACAGAAGAATATGCCCACTTCTATTTCAACCATGGTAATAGGATTAATATTATTCATGCCTTTCACAAAAGCTCTTGGCTTCAAGGCTTGTCCCCCTCTAGTAGTGGATACCCAGGTAAAAAGGTTGCAGTTTTGTACTGCTTTTAAAATTAAGCTTATGGAAGATGGTAAAATAAGTGTTTCTCTAAGTCCCTTTCAACCACTCCTCACTCTAAATAAAAAGTAGAATATTTTTAGTTCACAGGAACAGCTCACCCTGCTGTCAGGCACTGCCGTTTGCAGCATGTGCAGTTCAGGATTGCAGTGCTGGTATTGACTGTGGGTGTAATCTGCCTAAGGTTCTCCAGATGACACAACTTTTTGAGATGACATCTTGTAGAGGTTCACTGTTAGGAGGCAGGTTACATCCACATTATTGCTGTGGAAACAATGGTGAGGGACCACACAAGAAGTTCCCATGGTCATAAACAATGGATTATATTTTAAAAAAGCACCTAAGAGAAGGAGCACCAATTCAGCATTCTCTTTAGGCTGTTCCAGAATAGCATTTACTTTCCATGATGATATTCTCAGACAAGCATAAACATCACTAAAAGTGTAACTATGACATCACCAACTGGCCTGAGAGCATACACTTTGATTATACAACGACCCCCTGACAGCTTCATTTTCCCTTTACCTCAGATCTGCTTTCTTCATAAAATTCTGTCTTGAGCTGGCTGGGGTAGCATAGAGCATTGATGGAATCTCACCCACTAATAATTATGCAACTGTTTTAACTCCTTCCCAATGTTAAACTGAAATTTTTTTTTTTTTTTTTTTTTTTTGTGAGTAAAGTCCATCACACTAGCAAGCTTGAACAGAGTAACTCAATGAACTAATTTCAAATTCCTGATCTTCTAAAGATGGTCTGATACTCTGGCTGTATTTTGTTTTACTAGCTGCAAAGTTCATTCTGACCTTCTCTATCTTCAGAACAGCTCCTTTACTATTCAACTGCCTGTATCATTTATCCTTCCCTGAGGAAAGAGTTAAAAGGGAAAGGAGGAAAACATCTACAATTAAATTGCTCTTAAGTTGTTCCTGCCTCTTGGCAACTGCAGGTTGTAATTCAGCAGTTTACAACTCTCCCTTCTCACTTTAGAAAGAATGAATAATGTAGAGACTTACATTCATATTTGCAGTAGAAAGGGGATGCTGGGAGTTAAAAATTGCTGCTGAAGACAATAACATTCAAAGGGACAAAGGCTTCAAAGTTAAATCTCCTAAAGAGGTCCCTATGAGAAGAAATGCCAAAAAAAAAAAAAAAAAAAAGTCAAGTTGTAATGGCTTGAAGAAAGTATTAATTCCAGTATGGTTGGTTTCAAAGCAGTTTGTACATCTGTCTAAAGGCATAAGAAGAAAGGAAACTTACCTCACAGAATTACAAGAAAATGTTCAAGAAATGCCTATAAAGAATTTCTTTCCAGTAGACACCTTGTAAAACTGCCAGCTTGTGATTTGCACCACTGTCTACTTTAGTTACCCTTATTAGCCTGAGGTTGTACAAGTTTTTAGCAAACATATCCCCGTGGTGTACTTTGCATGTTGTATTCTCTTGACAATCAAACAAAAGTAAAGGAACTCAGCAAGTAAATTTTAAAGCAAAACTGTCTTCAGGTCTAGAGACTGGGGAGTCTGATGTGTGAGCTTTAGAATCACAGACTGGCTGCACCAGGCACCTCTGGAGGAGATTGTCTGCTCCAACCCTTTGGTCAGAGCAGGGCTAGTCATGGTAAGTTGCTCAGAGCCAGGTCCCAACAGGCTTTGAATATCTATCTCTAAGGAAAGAGACTTCACAAGCTCTGTTGAAAATGTGCTCCTGTGTTTCATTATTTCTGCTGTAAAACATTTTTCCCTACATTTAACTGGAATGTCCCATATTTCCATTGTCATTTACTCTTGTCATATCTCTTGTCCTGTGGAGCCCAGAACTGGACACAGCAACTAGATGTGTTTCACCACTGCTGATTTGAGAGGAAAGTTCATGTCCCTGGGTCTGGTGGCAATGTTCTCATTCACCAGGACATCAAGGTGTTCCACTGCAGAGCTTCTTTTCAGCTGGCTGCCCCCCAGCAGCTACTGGCACACGGGATTACTGCTACCCAGGTGCAGCATTTTGCTCTGCTTTGCTGGACTTTATGCCACTTCTGTGAGTTTCTCTCCAGGTGCCTCTGAATGACAGTACCTGGTGTATCCAAGACTCCTCCTGGTCTTGTATCAACTGCAAAGCTTCACAGGAGGCACTTTCACTCACTGCCCACTTCACTAAGGGGGTAAAGCAGTGGCTGACTCAGCATTCCTGAAGGCTGGCCTAATCAGGAAAGACTGAGGCAAAAGGTTCTGAATATCTTGCCTTTCCTACATCCTCCATCAGATCCCCTGGTCCATTAAGCAGAAAAGCTACATTTCCCTGAGGTTGTGATTTACAGAATTCCCTCCACCCATTTCCATCCCAGTACTACAAAATGGGATGCTTGTTCCCACTTTGGGAGAGCTGCCTTCATAAGCAGTTTCAGCTGGCCTGTGAGCTACATCACACATCCAATCTGGTGCCTTTGCTCTTCAGGTGGTTACTTCCAGCTGAGAAGCAAGGTGTAAAGTGTGAGCATTCTATCACTGCATCTAAATCTGTCAAAGATAATCTGTCAGAACCCTGACTTACATTTATAAAATGCCCAGCTCCTGAATGCCTCCAATATAGGCAGCTTCTTTTCAAAGGCCAATGGGTAGAATATTGTACCAAATAGGTGCAAAATGTGTGCTTCCTGGACTAGAATTAACTGATAACAGAAAGCAACCAATAAGTGGGAGTTTATTCTCATTTTTCCTTTAATACAGTTTTCTCCCAACTCTTTCAGCACTCTCTGTGGAAAAATGGAGCAAATTTCAATTTTTTATCCATTGCCTGAGAAGGTTTCAGTACTACAAGACTGTGCATGACAGCGAGGTGAGTGACATGCTGTCATTCAGCACGCTGCTTAGGATGTGGCATGTTATAGAAAAGCAGTGACATATCACAAAGCAGATGTGTGACATGACAGTCACTTAGATGACAGACATGCAAGTTACTCCAAGACCCTAAAGTCTTTGCTTGTTTGCTCTCAATTCCTACTCATTTTGAACAAATGCTTGTGCCAAGTTCAAAATGTTTTTAAAAAACTGCTTGAAATATATAGTTACACTATAACCTTTCAGGATAATTGATCTGATTTAATTTTTTAGCACAATTATCAGCACTGTTCAGAGAGCACAGTCTCCACCTACAATGATACTGCCAGTATGCACATTACTGACAGAGTGCTCACTTTTGCATAACTCATCCTGCCAGAATAAATACCGGAGAAAGCAGGAATTAGCAGTCCCCCTTACCTCCTTGACAGGATCCAAGTTGTAGGGGAAATTTTGGGAAAAAAGAGCATAGACTGGTAATTTTGCAGCAAAGTGTGCAGTCACAGAAAATGCACATTGCCACAGGTTCCCATGTCTTCTCTCAATGGTCCTTCCTTCCTCAGCATAGGAAAGGTGTTGCAGGGATGTGGGCATGAAAGTGGCCTTTGGCTGGGGAAGACTGGAAAAGGTGAAGGATTTGTTTGGTGTATTCAAATACCTGCTCAAATCTGGCAGTTTAATCACAATATCAGCAGGGAGAAAGAGCACTGATGTCAAATCCCATCGCATGTTTAGGGGAAGCAAGATACCTGTAGCAAACAAACAACAGTTCAGAATTATTTCTTCAGGTCTAATTCAAAGACCCAGAGGCAACAAGGGGAGAACCTTCCACAGCTCACTGGTTGCAGATATTTAAATTCAATTTTCAAAGAAAGATTATGACATAGTTATTGCATTAAAAAAAGACTAAAACGTGGAATAATGTTCTTAAAGCACAAAACAGATAGCAATTAGTAATTAATCAGTAAACACAACCATTTGCACCTCCCATAAACTGATGCTTCATTTTATGCAGACAAAATGCAAAAAGAGAAAAATAATCTCTTTTCAATAAGTTTTGACAGTGAAAACTAAATAAATAGTGCAAATAATGACAAATACAAAAGATTAAAATTTTTTTGATCTCTAAATCCCATAAGATGATATTAAAAACAAAAGTGAAACAATGAAGCCTGAAATAAATGTAGCTTGGTTTTCTGTGGATTTGTATCTCATGATTTAAGCTTCAATTTGAGCTTTTCTTCTGGTATGGGAATTTATAACCTCTCATCTCACAGAACGTGAGTTTTCTCTGCTGTCTTTCCTTCAGTCAAAGTGCTTATGGGGTCTATTTTTCCAAAGCTGCTGGGAACTCAATTATCCTTGAGACTACTTCCCTCCTGTCAAGTTTGCTTGACACTTGTCAGTGGCTTTGAAAGTTATTAGACAAGGCATTTGGACAGTCATACACAAACAAATGCAAAAATACTATTTCTGTAAAAAACAGGGCAGAAGTATTTTCCAAAAAATTATTTTATCTTTTTGTGTTCAGTTTCATGCACAGGGAAATATATGCCAGCTAGATCCTTATAATAAGGAAATCCTAAGAAACAAGTTGGATTGCTGTTTAAAACTCAAGAGTCTGAGAGAAAAGAATAACACCACATGATTTCCTGGTAGCTGAAAGTGCATTGGTAAACAATGACCATTGCAAATCTTCACAAAATAACACAAAATGCTACTCATGCTAATGAAAGTCAACACCTCACTAAAAAAATGGAAAGTGAAGGTAGCTGGCAGAGCTCACAAGATCAGATAAGGACTACAGGACTCAGCCCAGCAGTACCTAAACTGAGCTCCACTTTCAAGACACTGGTAATCTGTTCAACTCACTAATTTATTGTTTCCACCTATTTGGGTCAGATAAAATAACATGCAATTTTGGATTAAATGTAAAAGTGCAGATAAGCTGCCCTATTTTTATTTATCCCTTCACATTTTTTTACGTCTATACAACCTTGCAGTACCCAGAGTTTACGTTTTTCTAAATAAAGTGCTTGAAGTTAGGGGATTGTTAACGAAAGTCACAGTTTTAATGCTTAAATTAACCTCTTATTTGAAAAATATACCACCATAATATTTAAAGACATAAAAATTACTTTTATGACACAGGTAATATCTTTCCATGTATCCACTTACGGGGGGAAAAAAAAGTCACAAATGAAAAGATTAACCTGAGCACTGAGGACACATTTAACATAAGCCTTCCCCAGGCTCATCATTACCTGTATGGCACTGCTGACCTTGAAAAGCTTTCATGTTAACCAAAAAAGGATGTAGAGACCTAAGACATAGAACTCAAAAAAATATGCATTGCCATGCAGACTGCGCTCATCATTTTGGGATTATCACATATTCACTTTGCGATTTATTACATATTTCTACCTTAAAATGACATTTTTAATTTTTCTCTCGATAATTAATTTATTCAGTAGCCTTAATCAGAACAAATAAACAGAGCATTTATATAAATTCAAGGAGTATTTCTATGACAAGAGCATCTGGGAGAAGAATATTCGGTACTTGACCTCTTATGACAGAGAAAGTCACGGTGCGAAAGGCACGTCCCATCGCCCCATTCTGAAGAGAAGTTACTCCAGCAGAAGCAGAATCCCGAAGGAGCCCCCTGGAAGGTCAGGAAGGGACAGGCTGGGGCTCCCGTGGTGAGCAGGGGGGAGCCTGGTTTAGCACAGGGGACCTGAGATGCCGCAGTGCCACCTCTGCGGGGCCACGAGTTGGTCCCTGGACAAATCCATCGTGCAAGAGGGAGGCAGGGCTCTGGCAGCAGAGCTTCCATGCCCTGAACACTCACAAACTTCTGCTTACAGAGTGAGGATTTACTTTTCATTAAGATGTATAAGTAAGCACTAAGAGCATTTTTAGCAGCAGAACAAATATATTTTAAGAGTCTCAATCTACTGTCACAGAGACAGAACCTCAATGGGTTTGATTATTTGCAGGGTAACAGTGGTTTCAGAAATGTGACAGTGGATACTATTAAAATCAATCCAAAAATTCTCACTGCAACATCTGTAAAGCTTTGTGTATTTAACTCAGGATTAGATTCCACTCCCCTACTTGTACTGAATCAGCAGAGTATACCTTGGTGGCTTGCACCTCTGGAAATCTACCTTTTAGAGAACAAAACCATTAGCAAGACAAATAGGAAAAGCAAAATAAAATAAACATAGATTGCATGGAATGGCATAATTTAAATCAGATGGATAGGCAAACTCAGCAAACCCAGACATAACTAATCAGTACCTTACATTTGTCTTTGATCTTTGTAGTTAATTTTTCTTGTACAACAACAATCAAAAGACATCTCATTTTTTTTATGTAAAGGTCATTTTTCCTATGCTACCTTCTATAATATATTGCTTTAATTTTATTCACTCTGGTCAAAATGGAACGGTATGCTTTCAAAACCCAGGTAGATTTGCATTGTCTTTTAAAACTCTCCATTTAGCTGTATCAAAACAGTTTGGGTTGGCTGAGATCAGAAGGTACAGTTAATTCTATAATTCAAATAGTCCAAAGAAGAAACATTTGGTAATTTTATCTCCATCCTCACTGTGACAAGACAACCAAAACATATTCTACCTGGATGTGGAAAAAGAAAAATTGATCACATTAAAGACTTTTTTTATTAGTCTTTAAGCTGTGAAATACACAACAAGAAAGAGCACTAAATGACAGAAAAGGCAAAAATGGCAGTGCATGTGCTGCTCTCCCATGAGCTGCCTGCACCGAGCTCCCCTCAGCAGCCTGCCACTCATGCTGGTCAGGTCTTTTACTGAAAGAGAGTTTTTCTTTCTGTATTTATGTAGTGCAGCAGGCAACTGTTTACCTCAGAGGCATAAAAGTAAATCCGGATGTGTTTGATCCATAGTGCCACAGCAGCTCTGTTGCCTATGGAAACAAAGGCTCCTTTCAGGGAGTTCACACAACAGGCCCTGTGACACAAGGGACCCATCCATTTCGGCCACTGGATTATTTGTAGGTATTTTGCTAAGATACATATATATCTAGATACAGATATATATCTAGTATATATAGTACAAAATACTATCTCTGTAATAGTCTAATGATCAAGTGGGACAGTTCCTGAGTCTCATATTAATTTTATGTTATTGTATTTAAACAACATAATCCCCTTTTAAACAAATTGATAGTTGAAATGTAAGTTTTCAAGCTCTAAGCATCTGGTTTTTTCCTCCACCTTTCACCATGCAGGTTGTTGAGTACTTTGTGGACAGCAGCTTGACAAATCTGTTTCATGCTTACTCACAAATTCAGCTTTTGAAGATGACCCTGAGCATGGAGTTTAAGGATGCTGCAGAGAATGGATAACATCCCAGCAGCACCTTGTTAAAGGTTTACTTTGAAAAAAATACTTATTGGGAAATATGTTGTAAATTCCAAAGTGCCATTCCTGTGCAGAGACCCCTGCTCATTCTACACAAAACTAGTCAAGTATGATACACTTCAACAGATCCCAGTGCAATGTTTGTTAAAACCCTTTCCCAGTGAGAACCTGAGGTGGCAAAAAAGGAATGTGGTCAGACCCAGGACTTTAATGCAAAATCCATGATATTTTTCTCCATGTGCAATGCAAGAATTGGGTGAAACTTGAACTTTAGGCATTGGCAGCCTCAGTGTTAAGAATACAGCTCAACGCCTTCTTCCTTTTACTGACATCATTAAAGAATATAGTCACAAAATTCATACCTAACATGACTTTCCTTAAAAACATCTTGCATGAATCTTAATATTTCAATTCAAGAAGGCAATCAGCAGCTAAGAGCACCTTATTAAATATGCTTTTAATTATAATTCACCAGTGTTTATAGCTCACTTATAATTTTTGCATAAGATTACATTATTAGAGATCAAAACGAGTGAACAAAGCATTAGTTTATGTGCAGTGATAATGTTTCATAGAAAATTAAAAGAAAACAATAGAAACTCATTTAAACAGGAATATTATTCTCCATTAGGAATCTAGGGCCAAAAATGCCTTGAAAATGTCATCTGTATAAATATTCATGTACCTGTGAACAGATAACTTCAGAAGCAGATTTGACAGAAACAAAGAATAGCTTCTTCACGTTGCAGTAGATGACTAAGATCATTTGAATGATTTATTGATAAGACAGTGTACAAAATAAATACAAAGAGAATGGGCTGGACTTGCTGTTACCAAAAAAAATCATTACATGACTGCCTAGCATGGAAATTCATAAATATAAGAGTAGTGTGGGTAGGCTTGCATTACAAAAAAGTCAAACATAATATGAGAAAGACATCAATAATATGCAATTTCCATTACTTTTCTGCTTTTCTGAGGGGGTATTTTTATTTGCTTGGGGTTTTTGGTTTGGTTTAGGGTTTTTTTTAATAACTGGAAGTTGTGGGTAAACCCAAGCCAATAAGCACTAATGTCATAACAACCAGGTGGTGGGCAATTCAGATACTGATCCCATCACTCTCCTGTGTGAAGTGGTACTCACATGAGTAACCCCACTGAAAACAGAGGATGGCTTGTGCACTGAGTGCTATTTAATGGAAGGGTAGCAGGCTGGAGGCAGATGAAGCAAAACTTATTAGCTGATAAACTCACTGCTTCCTGGGTAACATCTAACTTCAATTCCCAGAGGTACCAGCACTCTCCTAGATGTTCACTCTGTCTAGATGTTCCAGAAGTTATTCAAACAGTGAAAAGCCTCACAGGATCATCAGCAGCAGCTGCTCAAGTTGTCATAGGATCAGCTTTAAGAAACACGTGCCAAATCTTATTCTGCAGATCTCCAAGCTGAGGCATTTTGGGACCTTTCTCTTTCAGGGCCCTGCCTGCAGCTGGGACTGCCCTGGAGCTGGGTTGCTGGGCACTGTGCAACCCCCAGACACACTGCACTGAAGAGCAGAAACATTGAGGTGTGCATCCAGCAGAGACATTTTTTCCTAAAACCCTGCACACAAGGTTATGCCAATTACTTTTCCTAGCTTAGTGTAATTTGGAATGTCCCTTCTGCTCTACAACCCAGCAAGACTGAATTCAGCACTAAAATCACAGATGCATGTGACAAAAATGCTTCTTTAATCCTTTTCCATTCTGAACAGACAACAAACCAAAATGCAATGTGGCCACCAAGTATGCACAGAGATTAACATCTGACAACTTTGGAGCTTCTAGTAGATTTACTTAGCAAAGCAAGGAAAAATTCTGGAGTAAACTCTGGCCTAGTTTTCTCTTAAAATATTGTTCCTAGATTGTTAGTCTACTTAAACTCTTGGGATTTTTCTTACTAAGTAGACAACCGAGAAGAAAAAATGCTGCTTTCTAAACCATGCAAAGTATGTCCTATACTTTAGTGCAACAGCCAAGACCATCCTCAATATCATAATTGAATATGTTCAGAATAGCTGACATGGCAATAATCATGTAATAAATTCATCATCCTGTCAACCTAAAAAATAGGAGACAGAATCTTAAATAAAGATGAACATCAGGTGAACACTTTCAAATAGATGGGACCAATGAACTTCAGGACAGTAGTTAGAATAAGGGAAGAATTTTAAAAGAAATTTCAGCATTAGATTCAAAGCTCAATATTATTCTATGTTGTGTGCTTTTTTTTTAACTTCAGCCTTTGATAAGAAAGGGTTGAACAAGAGCAAAAATTTAGCTGCAAAAGCAGGCTCATTTGACAAGTTTGGCAGCACATGAATAGAACTTAGAGTATTATATGCAGCTTAAAAGATAAAAAAAAATAACAGCCTTCCTCTTAATTAGAGAAGCCATATGCTCTATGAAATGAATCCTAGTAGCTTGTAATTACAACCTTATTTTTAAACAGATCCTTTTAATTCTATTATATTCTGTATTTCTGAATTATTTACTAAAATATTCAGATCACAGAGTTGTTATGAAAAAGTTTACTTCACAGTTGAAAGAATAGCATGGCACTAATATTGATACATCTCTTCCTACAAACAGGAGATGATAAACAGGGGTCTACATGTTAAATATTATTTTCTTCTCTACAGGAAAAGTAAGAAAATAAAGAAGGGAAAAAACAGCATCTGCCATACTGAGTTTGTCTTGCTCAGTATTCTGTCTGTACAGATATTTAGTAGTGTTCAAATTAAAATAGGCCTGCAGTACTGCCCACACATTTTAAAATCAGTGGGTCACATGGGGCACCTAATCCAAGCACCTATTGCACCTTAGTTTTAGGATTATTCTTAACTTTTCCTTTGAAGTTACTTTTTTGTAACTGTGTTTTCCTGAACAGTATAAAGTTTTGACTCATGCTTTTTAGAATTAATTTCACACAGAAAAATTTAACTGTACTTCTTCCTGTTAAATGAAAATATCTTTAAACATTCATCCAGAGAATCTGCAAAAGATCACTGCCATCCTGAGCACTTCTAGTCACTCATAATAATATGGTTTGATATAAGGAGCTATCAATCAGTTTTACAGATGCAGGTATGTTTCTATAACTATATAATAGGTATCATTCACAAGCATAAATCACAGGTTTTCTAGGTGCCAGACTTCCAACAAAAAGAAGATCAGCCTCAAAAAGCACAAATCAGCCCATGCATGTCACAAACAATTCCCTTGAGAACAAAACTTCTTGCTAAGAAATACAAGGTAAAACAATTAAATTCAAGATAGCAATTTGACTTTTAGAGGTGTTAGGCCCAGGTCTGGTTCCTTACTAACCTCTCAGGCTGGTATTTTACATTTCCATGGCCAGTTGGTGCTGACCCGCACGTGCAGCCACTGCCCATCCTTCAGGCAGGCATTCAGTGCAGCTTGTTCCCTTCAAGTATTAAGGGAGCACCTGAAACAGGGTGATGTTAGTTCTGCTGTTCTGATTGCTGAGCAAAAAGGACAGGAAATCATTATAGTCAAAACATTTCTAACAAAGGTCACTTTAATACAAAATTACATCAATCACCTCAAACAAAAAAAGTACATTTCAATTGATGTCATTTGTTCGTGGGGCTATTATCAGCTTTACTTTTAAAAATTTGGCTGGTTCCGGAGAAAAAGCATTAAAAATTAACTATGTCTTTCAAGAGAGATTTAAGTCTTATGTTAGAAGATAAAATTGCATGAGTTGTTTCATATGATAATCTGAATGGCAGTTTCAAAATTTTTTTGAAGACATCACTGTGAAAGTAGCATTAACGCAAAAGAATCATCTAGAGTAGATGACTCTGGATAAAGCATTTCTCAGAATGTACCCAGTCTGGCTACATGCACCACAGAATCCAGGCCTTCAGCTCACAAATGTAGCATTGTACAAGTGAAACAAGCCAGAATTACTGTACCTATAACTCATAACACATGCACACATTCAGAGCTATTAGACACACTAGATATCTGACTTTGTATAAAACTTTTGCAGTTGATTTTGACATGAGCACGTTGTAAAAATATCTTTTAGCACTGTAGATGAAGCTTTATACACCTAAAACTTTTTACTAGGGATTGCTAAATGAATTTGTTGGTGTAAATGAGGACCAGGCTTTCAGACATTAACACTTGTGTGATGCTACATTCAACAATTAAATTTTCAGTGGTGAGGGATTATGCCCATACATCTTAACTCAGACCATAAACTACTTTTATCTGTAGCAGAGTACATAAGAATGTGCTTAGAAGTCTGCTGTTCAAAGGAACTGGAGGACTTAACCACATGTCAATTTATTTGCTGAAGAAGAATGTGTGGATAGTTTGGAGGCACTGATTTTGTCTATGGTGGTATTGTGGAATTGAATTCTACATACACACAAATTCCTATCCAATTAATCTTCACATTTATATATAATTAACAGAAATACAAAAACATGGACAAACAATATAATTATACATAATTTTACAACACAGAGTAAATATGCAATCTCCGCATGTTTATCTACTATCTGCAGCACGTCTTCTAGTGAGATTAGTCCACTGCACAATTTTAATTCCAGTAAACGATTTTTGAAGGCTAAGGACTGTCCTTGTAAATTCATATGTAAGCTGCAATTTTAAAAACAATTCCCCAAATATTTTAATTTTGATTTATCCACACAGATTTGTAGATGCTATATTCAAGCTCTTTAATTCAAATCACACTGTTTTCAAAAGGCTGGTACAAAATTGAATGTCACTTGATTGTTATTTTGCTTAGGAGAGACTACAAATGAAGGATCAGTGAGGGAGAAGAGAAAAACTCCAGTGAGAAACAGCATGAAAACAAAGTTGAGAATGTGAAGAATGAACAAGTGAGTGAAAAAGAGAAGCACAGAGGGAGAATATAAAATTCTCATACACTGGCATTTAAGGGACAAGAAGCTTACACAGGCCACTGAGCTGTGCCCTCCTCACTTTTCAAGGGTTAGTAAACTCACTCAGTGGTAACCTGGCAAAGAGCTTTCTTCAGCAGAAGGTTCACTGCAGGAAAGTTTCCTACATCAAAATAACGGCTCCCAAACTGCTACTAATATCTAAAATACAACTCTGCAAGCCCTATAAACCCCTCACCTCATCCTTGTGTATCCTCCTGTCACTGTACCAAATCTGCCATGCCCAAAACCACCAGAAATTTCAATCCCTTTTAAAAGCAACGAGTCCTTTCTAAGCTGCAGCCCTACCCAGCAGAGGCACCTGAGATGCTGAGCTTGCCACTGGAGAGGCCATGGGCTCCCAGGGAGGTTTCTGCCCTGCTGTGCTAGAGCCGCTCTCCTGGCAGACATGGAGCCATCCCAAAGAGACACAGACTCTGCTGCTCCCTGGCCCTGGAGACACCATGACCACACTGCTGCAGTGGTGGCATCTGAATTTTTCTCTTTCCAGTTTTTCAAGCCATGGTTTCTAAAGGTGACAATGGTAATTAGTCCTAAATGCTTTATGTGCCATAGAGAAATGCAGGAGAATATGTCCAGCAGGCAACGTTTTTAAAATCTCTGCTAACACTTTGATCACAGAATGAATTGTCTGGAATACTGTGAACTCTTTACTTATTAAAATGAAACTGGGGTGTTGTATCAATGAACTGTATTTTATAGTGTTCTGTCAATGAGACATATGCTATTATATTATCAAGGTACTAATTCAGACTACAAAATCAGCTTTCCATTTCTCTTAATGAGAGACTGTACCAAAAGTAAATTACATGAGTTTTCATCACTGTACTCTTAATAAAAATAGGGCATTTTGGCTCTTTTTGTTAAAGAGAAAGCTAATATAGTATTTATGAAGTCTGTGCAGTGAGCAGTTAAGGACTAATACTGAATATCCAAAATGCTAGAAGATCTTTAGTTAAAATGGAGCATGACAATATGAAACACAAAGCATTTTGTCAAGAAAAAGAAAAAAAAAGTAATAGGAAGAATGAAAGGATATAGATGGTGAAAGAGAACTAGCATTTCCAGAAATGAAAATGGGGTGCATTTTTTTAAAGAAGAAGATATCTTCTAGACTTCAGTTGCATTTTCAGGAGATGAAAGAAACAAACTTGTAAGTCTCCAAAGAGACAGTAAATGTAGACACTGAAAAATCACCACAGCATTTGAAAATAAATGGGATCTTATTTTAAAACCATAAAACTATGAACTGCCTCTTTTATTATTTAAGGGGTCTTGCTTTTCTGTTCTATCAAGAAGACTTCAAGGTCAAAATGTCTGTATACTTAATACCACTTTAGATGCCAATGAAAGGAGATTACAAGAAAAATGAGAACCCTGGGGCTTGCCAGGCCTTTCTGGGATAAATGCACCTGGTAAAGTCAAGGTTATATAAATGAAGAGAATCCATCATCTGATGTTGTTGTTGGGGGTTATTTACATTTAAAGAAAAAGAAAGTAAATTAATAATATAAAATAGTGAAATGTTCAAAGATTGCATGAAAAAGACAATTTGACATTGTAATATGTGCAATACTAAGTTGCAAATTCTATTTTCAAGTGAGAGCTGAAGCAATTGTAAGGGAAACAGAGACAGTCATAGTCTGGCAGACAAGTCCAAATGAGGCTAAACCCTTTTCAAATTGTCATAGTCTGTTGCCTGGAATCCTGAGGACCTGCTGAAAGTAAACCAAAATCCCAAAATTTCAATTGGCTGGAAACCAAGAATGTAGGAGAAACTTGCCCATATCTGAAAAACAGAAATTTTAACTCTAGTAATTTCAGAAAAATTTACTAAATTTTCCAACCCAAGGGAGTGTTTTAGGGGCAATATTTCAAATGTTCAAATGTTTTCATGTCTTTCAAGAGAGATATGAAGAAAAGTTTCCTGCCATGGAGTTTCAGTATTCTGTAATAGTTGCAATTAGAAATATTGCCCAGAAAGTCAACAAGGGCTGTTCTCTTGCTTTACTGCACAATAAGCAAATAGATTCCCAAGGTCTCCACAAGGTCCATTTTCCTCAAGGACAGAGGAATTTTTTTTTTCCTTTTTCTTTCTCATTCTTTTTCCATTGTTGGAGATGTGGCTTCATGTCTTACAGGTAGGGTATTGTCCTATCTTATTATGATCAGCAGCTCAACCTGCTACACAGCTGATTTACTCTGCTCAGTGCAAATGCTGCATTAAATTCAGCAACTGCAGTCCAGTAGACAGTGCAGATGTAAAGCAATTTAATTGCCTTTTCCCTATACCTTGATGAAAGTAAATGAAGGCTTCCTGGGAAGTTCAAGGTCTGGAGGGCATTTTTTCCATGCATTTACTATCCTTAGTGTTCAGATTTGGAGCAACATCCCTCTTTGGTACAGAGATCTAAATGATGCAGACAACAAGTGCACCAAAGAGGGAATTGCTGCTCTAGAACTTACATCATCAAATTTCACTGTTAATTGAAAACATCATGCCTTTGCTTAGAGATACATACTGCTTTAATGGAGGCTGTACATTTAACAAGGGAAAGAAGGGACTGAGGCGGGTACACAGATTCCAGGGGTAAAAGCTGTCAGGAATGGTAGTAAAGCAAGGAAGAGCTTTCTCTCCAGTTGCAAAGGAGCTTAAGTGAGAAAAGATTCTGAGACCAGTCAGAAAGAGTGGAGAGAGAGAGAAGCTGGGCAGGAGGTTAAATGAGCAGGGTTTGACTACTCATCCAGATGGACAAATGGCTTTAAAGTTAAAACATTTTCTCTGTCAGAAAAGAGCTCCATAAACCAGAAGAAGACAAGAGCTTTGCAAGAATACCCACAGAAAAAAATGAAACAATGCCAATTTCTTAAAATGCTACTGTGGTATCCACCTTCCACTACAGAATATGCACGTTTCTTATTCACAAAGTCTCCCTTGAAATCTTTTGACCTTCGTGCATCTTCCATGGAAGAAAAAGTGCAGACAGAGTAGTTCCTGCCAAAATATTATCCTCTGGTGTTTGCTGTCTTAACCATACAGCATCAGAAAAGCAATATCAGCAGCTGCAGGTGTTAAAAGACATATTTTAGGAACAGAAGTGTACATTCAGGAGAGGTAACGCCCTTCACTTCCAAAAGGCACCTCATTATTAGGCAGGGACTCTAACACAGTACTGCAAACACTTACCTTGGCTCCAGTCTCATTCCTCTCCTGTGTACTTTGTAGATTGCCCTGTTCTTTACTAATCTCAGACTGAGCACTTCACCACAAACAAAAGCTAGAGAGGGCTCTGCAGCACCAAGAGGAACTAATATTTGTTCTTATTTCCAGAAGTAGCATAAGGCCTATAATCAATTTATTTTGATTTTGCACAAAAACCCTGAAAGAGTGCCAACTACATTCTTATTTCTGTAAATTTAAAATGTGCCTTCTTACATAAGGACTGGAGGACTAAGCTGGTATTTTGATACTAAAGTGCTCCAGAAACATGGACCTGCAAAGTCACAGAAGTAGCCAGAGAATTAGATTTCAGGGACATGCTGAGATTGAGCCCACCAAAGGCCATGAAAAGACCTTTTTTTTTTTAGCCACTGTATTTTGGATTAAATTTTCAATCAGGTTTGCTGATTTGGCCCTGGGGATGCCTGATTCATATATACAGGCAGATGGAGAACCTATATTGTTGTACAAGCTTCTGGGATAAGAAGAAAGGTATTCACAGCTGGAAGCTGCAGCCTTTCTATCAGCTCTGGGGATGCTAAAACTGCAGAGCCAAGGCTCCCCATCCTGCCTATGGTTTGCTTCTGGCTTTATCTTGATTTATATCAACATTTGTGAAGCATTATTAATGTCACAAGAGGCAGATCTGTCAACTAGAATAACACTCTTGGAAAATTTGCTCCCACCTACTTTCCCTTTCAGGTTCATCAGATGTGGCATTTGTGTCAGGAGTTACCCAACCATAGATAAGAAACAAGAGAAAAACACTTTGCCATTAATTACAGAGGCAAACAAGAACAGCTAAGCACGAGGAGGTTGGCTAAAACCAACAATCCTTTACAGAAGCCCACTGTATTCATCTGCTAACTCCAATCACAGCTGAAAGCAGATTGCAGGGATTTTGTATTACATTGGAAAGGCAAGATAAGTAGCAGAGTATGGTTTGTATCCTAACATTATTGCCCCTGCAAAATCAATACTCCCATATATGGTTTAAGGCAGTTTCCAGGGGAGATGCAGGGAGTCCCACAGGGGAAGTTTGGCACATGCAGTAACATTTGCAAGGTCAAGACCCTGTTCTTTTAACATATTCCACCAAGGTTAATGTGCTATTGTACAAGATCCAAGACAAGGCCAATGAATCACTGGAATCCTTCTCAAAGCCCAGCTGCACAGAAAGGCACATTTAAGGCACAAACCAGCTATAGTGATATATATCTTCTAGAATAAAAAAAATATAAATATTCTTTTTTGTGAGGATGTATCATAAAAGGCTGAAGTCCATACATGGACCTCCAAGTAATCCATAAGCACTACATTTGTAAAAAAACCTCTGATCTGAATTTACATGAATGATTAGTGATAAAATAGTTGGGATATTTTTAGAGACAAAGCAACTTACTGAAATGTTTGTTTTGTGGCCACCTTGAGCTGGGATAAGCTGGTTTTCCTGGGGGTGATTTATCATGGCAGAGATGGTACTTTCTATTCTTACTAGTTGCCTTCCTATAAGAACCATAAAAACAAATTTATCAATTGATTTTAACTGCACTGCAATTAGATATTGATTTATTGGCACTCAGGGGTAGTTATAAACCTGATATTAATATCCTTCCATGAAACTAAATTGAAGCTGGAAAACTGTGATCTAGAAGTAATCCAGATTCCACAAGATAGAAACCTATGCTCTTCCTCTTTATATTTAAATCTATAGCAACAAGATAGAGGTTCTAGGGTTTTTTTTAAATTATTATTATTATTTTGGTTGTGAGAGTCCTTGGATACAGGATCCTCAAAAACAAAAAAAAAAAAAAAAATAGACAGGGAAAGCAAATGAGTCATAAGGGCATGATTTCATTTGGAACAGGTCATGCAAGATTAGTACCCTGGGCTGCCCAAAGCTAAAATTTAACTATCATAACTGTGAGCATCAGGTTTGAAAAGGATGAATGTGTGAGAAAGCGCAGGAGGGGGTTTCTTTCATTTTCTCTGCTTTTGGGAAGAGGGAGGTGTGAGGAGAATACAAATCCACTGATTCATACCTATCTATTAGTCATACTTCTGTTGTGCTGGTTGCTTATTCTGTAGACATTCTCTGTTGTATAAATAAGGTGCACTGCTGCAAGGCTTAATATAGTATGTCTTTATACCTTTGTTTTTCTAGTTTTGTTTCTAAACTCTGATCATTCTGCACTTTCTTTCACATACTTTGTAATTCAGCTAAAGAATTTTGTAACACAAAAAGTTTGTGTCATTTACTAGTACTTTCAAACTAAGAATTGTTGGATTTTTAACCACTACAGCCATCCATTACCTCAAGAAAAAAATCTGTTTGTTTATCATGTTTTAGAGCAAAAGTATTTTCAACAAATGCAACATTTAAATACAGAGATATCTTTAAAAAATAATCTATTGTATGGACAGATGTTTATTTCCACAACAAGACAGAAAATACAGACAAAGAAAAGGAAAGGGGAAAAGGAAAGGGGAAAAGGAAAGGGGAAAAGGAAAGGGGAAAAGGAAAGGGGAAAAGGAAAGGGGAAAAGGAAAGGGGAAAAGGAAAGGGGAAAAGGAAAGGGGAAAAGGAAAGGGGAAAAGGAAAGGGGAAAGAAAAGGGGAAAAGGAAAGGGGAAAAGGAAAGGGGAAAAGGAAAGGGGAAAAGGAAAGGGGAAAAGGAAAGGGGAAAAGGAAAGGGGAAAAGAAAAGGGGAAAAGAAAAGGGGAAAAGGAAAGGGGAAAAGGAAAGGGGAAAAGGAAAGGGGAAAGGGAGAAAAGAAAGGGAGGAAAGAAAGGGAGGAAAGAAAGGGAGAGACACAAAGAGAGAAGTAGAATCACACATTGACCAACACAAAGCAAACTGTTTTTAAACAACAAATTTAACAATTTTTCTCCCTTTGAACAACCAGTTGAAGGAAAAGTATTGGCTTGGCTGCAGTTTTTGATGTAAAAACATCATTTTGAATTAGGCTAAAAGATATGCCATGTGAACTTCAAAGAAAATATTGGAGAGAAGCATAGTGGAAAAAATTAAAAACTTCCTTGCAGGGATTTCTAATCTCTGTACATATATTATTTAAAGCTTTGCAAAAGACTAGTATGCAGTGTTGAATAATTATTTTGCATGTACTTGTTCAAATATTCCCTCTTCTGTTTGCTTGTGTTTTCTATTTTAATTTGCTAGCAATTCTTTTTGAGTAAAAAGGAACATTATATGCATTTTTTTAACCTAAAATGCAGAAGTTACCATAACATTGGTATTTTTTACCTACCTGTTTGTACCATATGAATGCAGAAGAAATTTGACAATTTAAATAGCCAAACTCACAGTTAAAAACTCATTAGTGATATGTGATTTGACAAGGAAGAGGTTTAACAGGGATATGTGATTGCACATGCATTGACTTTCACATTTCAAGTCAAGGGTACAATAGCCTCACCTGATGTGGTTCTGAACTTATCAGTTGTGACTGGTGGAGAACTGTAATGCTAGTGACTTCACCTCCAACCAACACTGAGCTTTCTTGACTCCAGTACACTCCAGTCTTTTAACCTTGACAAGAAAATAGAGAAGCAAGAGAGTTAAAATGATAATTTGCTTCTGGAAATTATAGAATTTTTTTCCTAGTAAAAATGTGGGGGACAGGTATTGCTTTTTTTTTTTTTTTTTTAATTCTAATGAAACCTCAAAATAGGTCTTGCATAAATACTGCCAACCAATATTTCTCCAAATCAAAACACAAAATTCAGAACCTATTAAAGGGAAATTTGCCCTAGCTTTACTTGGATATTTGTCCCAATACAAGTCAACAGTCATTATTTAGGATTTAGCTCAGTAAACACTCACCTGATGACCAGGCAGGCCAGTTTCCTGTGTCAGGATTATGGGCACAACAATAACATCCTGATAAATGGTACCATCATGTTCTTTGGTCTACCTAGTTAAAAGGAAAAATGAGTTCCCAGGAGTTCCCTGGCTGGGAGACACATGTAAATCCCCCTCTCTCCTATCAATACTGCCCAGTTACAGCCTGCTGGATCTGGGAGCAAGAGTTACCATCTAAACATCTGTGGTATCAACACAGACCCTCTCAGTTACTAATATGAAGTAGATCTGAAACCTACAAGGCTTCCAACATGATCTCTCAGAGAAGGAGACATCACAAATTTGGCCAGACCATGACAGCACCAGCAGAATGGGACTCATTTGGTACTTTGACCCTTTGCCAAGTACCAAGCTTCTCTTCCTGAAACAAAAGACACATCTCTGTTGCGTTTAGTGATTACCACAGAAATCGCCTACGTATTAATTCATCATGTCTCAGTCTGGTTATGGCCATTGCATACAAAACTAATCATTTTTTAGTGCAGTTCTCATTCTAGAGAGAGAAGAATAAATGGCTTTTTCTGTTTAGTTTTTCTGGATTTATGTATATAGTTTTTCCAAAAAAAGTTCCTCTCCCTCATGGCAAGAGCGCCTGATCTTTGGGTCTATCTCACAGAACATTCTTTGATACATTGTCTTGGCTAGAGGCATTCAACCCTCTGCCTGTTTTGCATCTCTATTTTAAAAATAAAAGGCTTTCCTATTCTTTTAATTCTCATAACATTAATTCAACTCTGTGTCAAACATGACTCATTGACAGATTAAAGTAAATGTGCCACAGTGAGATTACCACCAACATAAAACAGTGCCCAGCATGTGCCGCTTCCCTTTGCTGCAGGCTCAGATCAAACTACAGGATTATAGAGATAGGCCTGGCTTGATACAAGATACAGGCACCTCTTATTTATCCAACACTAACTAATGGGGAAAAACATGAAGTCATATTTAATGTTTTCTATCATTCATTTAAATTCTATGACTTTAATGGAGCTGAAGAAGCTTCATTTAAGATTGGAGGATACAGAGTAGAATGGCCCAAGGAAGGTTCCTGTAATATTGAAATGGAACTGAAATACACCATTGTGGCCTGCAGTATCACCCAGGAAATATTTTAGCTAATGAAAGCGAGCACTGATATCTGAAATTCACCTGAGAGAACATAAGAATAAAATTTCAATTAAATAAAATTATGCGTAGTGTTAATATTTGTCCAGTCATTAAATAAGGAAATTTTATGTCTGAGTCCTTCAGCAGAAAAGTTACAAAAAAAAATTTGAACTTCAAAAAAAGAACAATGATGGAATACACTACCCTAATTTTTGTTTAATAAATACCAAAGCTTCCTAGTTAATCTTTACAAAAAAACATACATCCTTGCTATTGCAGGTTTTGGTTGGCTTTTTCTGTTTTGTTTTGGAAAGGGTTTTTTATTACTCCTAGGTAAGATTATTGAAATCAGTGGAAAAAGACCCAATAATAACGAATTCAGAATTAATTCAATCTCCTGGCATTTCAAAGTAAGCAAACTAACCAAAACTCTGAAACTGGTACTCTATCACACCCCAGACAGCCTCATCTCCTTCTATGTCCCTTTAAACATCTATACTGAGACTGTTTCCTTCTGACAAAATCACCTGCATTCAGAGGAATTATTAATACAGCTAGATTAAAAAATTTGTAGACCATCAGTAATCTTCATCATCAGTTGATCTATTTCATGGTTTCAGCAACGTGTCAGGTGCTTTTGACATTTAACTGTAAACTACTAGTCCAGGGATAATAGCTATTGACACTGAAGCTGTGAGTCAGGATGAAAGGGCTTAGGTGTCACACATTTGCAGCTGCAATTCACTCTGTGGTAGCTTCTCACCGCAGAGAAAATATTATTGGATACATTTAACCTTCCCCTATTCCTAATGCAAAGAAAAGAAATCAGAGAAACATTATAAGTCAGTTTGGTTATAATCCACACACAGTGAGGAGAAAAAATCCATTATAATTAGAACCTATACAAGTTAGTTTCTTTGCGCTGAATTTGCAGGGCATAAAACAATAAAAAAATAATTCCTGTCATCATCACACCACACCATGATAAGAAATGCACCACTAAACAAAGACATTAGACCTGTGACTCTTAACTCTGTAATTTATATGATTAAGTTTCCTTACAGTTTCATATGTTAGCAAAATACTTACCTTTGAAAGTAAGCCTAGCAGAAGACAGAAGTACAGAGACAGAAGATGAAAGTTTGCATGTAGCAAAGCATTCAATGGAAAGGAGACACTGAGTAACTCCATCCTGTGATTTGGCAGGTTGGTGGGAGGATTTTAAAAATATCCCCAGCCTACCTATAGAAAACAAGAGAAAAGTATGATTTTAAGAATTCATGCAATACCTTCCAATTTTGGATCAAATTCTCCCTCAGAATACTAACTCCTTGGATTCTGTACCAACTATACTGCCTACCAGATAGGCTCTAGGCAGTTTTTGGTCATTATGTGATTGATGTTGTTTCATACTACAGAGAAATAGCTAACAAAAAATGACCAGTAAATTTCCAGTCCTTGTGCTTCACTTCTGTACTTCAAAGGGGTTTTTTTAACTGTTTCCAGCACAGAAAAAGATTCTGTACTGGTGTTCAGAAGGAATGGCACAAGAAACTGTGACTGCTCATTAACTGCTTGGGTCCTTATGGAGGATTCCCTATGCTGCTGAACCCACACAGACTAATCTGATTTTATCCACTGACTATAGGAAAGACGAAATTAAATTCAACAACTGATTCTGAAAAATTACTTTTTTTTGAAAACATATATTCCCCTGTTTTAATTGTACTAAGGAACAGAGAAAACTTCTATATTTAAGTTTATTAGAAGATGTATGAAGAAGGCAGTTATTTTTTTTCACCTTCCTAATGTGTATTGGATGACTGAATATTGTAGTACTGATACCATTTAAGACCAAGGGGATTGAAAGAACTACTAAGAACATCATAAGATAAAATATAATTGTTGGCTAGAAATAAAGGCCTTTTCCCTCATGCCCTCAGAGACTATTCTAATTTTGTAGGGGGTTTTCATCCATATTCTCACATGTCTATAATTTCTTACTTCTCTAAATATATATACATTTTCAAAGATGTTAAGTCTAAGTATGAGACTTTTCAAAATACAGAAGTTTTGTATAAAGTATCAGGAAGGGAAAGGCAGAGAGCAAAGGTCCTATATTTTCTGATCAAACTCAGCGTCAGACCTTTCACTAACTTCACAAATGATCAAGTTCCATTTCTTTACTTGTTTGTCATCTGAGTGGTAGACTGATGCAAGCAGCAAAGTTGTTAGCACCATATGGCTCGCAGGATAATACAGCACACTCACTTTGAAGTTTGTTATCTCCAGTAACAGGTTTAGACCCAAATCCTTAAATATGCACAGGCTGTGCTCATCCTACTATTGTATCTATGTTTTCATTTATTATTATACCAGGTTCCTGTAAAACAACTTTTTGCAAGACTTGTTTCTTTAAACCAAAAAATCTGAACCTATTAAATCAAAGTCTTTCGGACGTGGGATTCAGAATTTGTGAGAATGAGTTCTATTGAAAAAAGAGTGTGGTGAGTTACACTTACAGAAGTAGGAAACAAATACATCAAGTCACACTTAACCAAAATAGATATATTTTGATTTGCAAAGGCCAAATACTGATAGTATTCCTTACTGTACTTTATCACCCATTCCAGCCCATATGAATGCAGAACTCAGTCCTCCAAGTCACATAAAATGAAAACAAAGTATGTGCAAAGGCAAATGAGAGCATTGCCATATACAGTAGTGTTTCTTCCACAATGTTTGATTAGATAAAATTTTCCTTGATAATTTTGATTTTTTTATTTACATAATATACTACTCCCTTGTTCCAACACTGATATAGCTAGAAACTTATAGAGAATGAAACCAACATACTACATAAATCAGAGATATTTGTTAACTTGATTTGTCTTAGACCATTTCTGTTCCCTAACGTTGGGAAAAGGCTGGACCTTCATGAGGCAATTATCCTGAGAGAGAACATGCTCCCATAAAGCAGTAAAGAAAGGAAAGGTATTCTTAGGATACCATCAATTTAACAAATCAGTAACTTGGTGACCCAGAGAGGGCTCTATGTAAATATGTCACCCATATTAAGTCTGTCACCTAGCTGGACAAGGGCTGTATTGTCAATACTGAATACTGTCAAAGCCAAAGAAACTCAAAAAACCAGGAAATCCCATATTAATCTGGTCTCATTTTAGACTGCTCTGGAAAAAGTAATTCACACAAAGGAATATTTTTCTAGCTAAATCACTGCTGCTTGAAAATATGGAAAACACAGAAGGTAAAGAAGGCTGACAAAAAGTGCATATTGCACAATTCCCTTCTTGCTTAGCCTTAGATAAGATCAAACATTGAATACTACCTTTAAATAGACATGAAATATTGCAGGCAACAACAAATACAGGAGCACTGTCATGTGGTCCAATAATATTCATCGTAATTTTTACTGTTCATGTAGGTTATTCAAAGTTTGAATGTGTCCAAACAGAGCCTTCACCTGAGGTGCACAGAGGAGCTCTGGCTCTGTGCTAACTCATAAACACAAGGCCTTATTCCTGGATGAGTCCTTCATCCTCCATCTAATTCAAGAAATTATAGCTGACCTGGGGTTCTCTGGGGTTGTGCGGCAGAAGTAGGGGACTGGTTAGCAAAGAGTAACCAGACCCCGTCTTGTTGGGGAAGAGCACTGCAAGCCTCATTGGCAGAAACCCAACACCAACAAGGATAATTTCTTTTGCAGTAAAAAGTTTTGAAGGAAAGTAGAGGATAACAAATTCATAGGAATTAATAATTTAAAACCTAGGATGCTGTGAATTCTTTTCTTCAGCTGCTGAATGTTATAGCTTTCTGTAAACTCAGAGCAATTCTTTTTAAATTCAGATTACACATTTCCACTAGGGTCCAGATTCTGAAGTGCTTATTCAGAAATTGGTTTAGGTAAAAGTTCTACTGAAGCTGCTGGGGATTTGATTTCAATTGAAACTGCATAAATACTGAGTGCAGACTTCTGGATTTCACCCTCTAGAGTAATAGACTGTGTAAACTAGAAAGGTCTAGTAAGGAACCAGCAGGTTCTTTTAAGTAATTAATACTTTTCTTATGAAAACACAAATAATTGCAATGCCTGTGACAATTATTTTCAGGGAAAAAATAAAAGAGAATACCTATTTAATTTCTAAATACTTTGAAATTGAGATCTTAATTCATAAGACTGTCTTGCTGTTGTACCAGTGAATGCCCATTATACAGTCTCATCCTTTTACATTTGTGGATAAGCCAATTTAGTATTCCCACACCTCTGTAATTAACATATAAGCACTGATTGACTATATTACTGAAACTTTCAGCTTCAGATAAATATGCAAACAACTTCACTAATGATGAAACTATGCATAAACCCCATTTTGTTTCCCTGAAAAATATTCTCAAAAAATAATCTTCAGCTGAGACAGGTTCTGAACCCAAAAATCACTGATCCCCACAACAGCACAAAGAGATCTAAACCAAAATTCCTTAGGTAGCTTCCAGACTGACTTATAGTACTATTCTGTATACATAGATGGTGATCTGTTTTGTATTAGCTCAGCAGAAAATGTCTGTAAGTTCATAGTCCTAATACGGTCTTTGAAAAAATACTAATATGAGCTCCTGGTACTCTGACATATGCCATGCTAACTGTACAGGTGTTAGAAAAATGGCCAAGTTGTACAGAAGTTATTCACATGGATAGCAGATGCTGTCTTTAGTAGGGTTATTAGTATGAGTTATTCATCCAGGCTATAAAATGTCAATCTGACTGTATGCGCTAGTACACAGCAAGTAACGTTATTTACGTTAAAAGTGAAGTATAATAAAAAGTGTTATATTTACATAAAGCAGAGCATCTCTGGCAAACTGTTAGGCAGTAGGTGGGAGGATGATTATTCTAGATATATAAAGGGTATGAAATTCAGGGACATATGGTGGTTGCCCCATGATTCAATAAAACACAGCAAAGACAACACTTTATAGAATAAGACATTGACTAAGAAAGATTCGCCTTAATGATCAAAATTCTCATCAGTAAGTTTTTCTCCATTCATTTTTTTTTAATAAATTTACCACCATGTATCTTTTTCTAGAAATTTTTAAGTGTCTCTGCAGACAGAGAAAACCAAAACTAAAAGAGAAGCTCAATTCCATTGATTTCCACAAGAAAATGCTGACATTCTTTTCAAACTAGCTTGAATTTAGTATTAGTCAACTATAGAAATACTGTTGACATTTATAAATTGGTTTTACATCAAACCAGTTCAAAGCTTTAAATTTAATAATGGAGTAATATGCTTAATCTCCATTCTAGCTATAGAAAAAAATTAGAAACGTTCAGATGCTCCTCTGATTATAGCTTTAAGGTTCCCAAAAGTAGGTCTTTCCAACAAATCAAGCTAAATTATCTGCTGGGAGCCACATAGTATCAAAGATAATTCCTTTCCTTTGCTTTCCCTCAAACTTCTTAAATTCCTTCTACAGAAAGCTTTGTCCCCAGAGCAGGAGAGGGGAACAGCATGATCTAAATGCTCTGTAGTTTTGCCTGGATCCTCAGTTCACCCAGGGTCCATCTCACACGCCCTCTATGGCATTATAGGCAACCTATGCACTCTCCATTCTGCTCTGTATCTACCCAACCCTCAGCAGAGCAGCAGCATTCAGAATGCATTTTTCTACCTCAGACTGGATTTTACCCTCACAGAAATCTAGCGTTGTTCCTTACCTAGACATTTCTGATGGAAGTTGTGTTGTGAGTTAAACAATCTTGAAATTATCAAAATGTATAGCAATGTCAGCACAAAGCCAGGGATGGAAATGGTCACAAGGCAGCAGTCACAGTATCCTCCCCCAGCAGTGGCTCAACTTCTGCTGTCACTGATCAGCCTGTGTGCAGGGTGGGGGCCTAAAGAGTTTGGAGTGATGGTTCAAAGAGCTGTGAAACTTGTCAAATAGCATTACATGCTTAGAAAAAATAACTGAGCAGTCAGTGTGATCTTACAGGGCAAAAACCATAACTCACAGATCTCAGATAAGAGTGTTCCTCTTTTATCCCCAACATCCAGGTATACAGACAAACACAGATTTTGAACGGTATCCCATGACAAATGATGTTAAATCTGGGATCAAACATCAACAATAGGATTGTTTTATGTAAATCTTTGAATTAAATTAGTCTTTTTTCCCCATACCCAAACATTATAACATTTCCAAAAATTTTTATTAATATATAGCATGACTTCCAACATGCTATCCAAACATCATATTTTAAAGAATATGTCATATGTATAATAAATGTAACAAAATGTTGCTTCCTTGCTTTGTGAAAAGGATGAGCTTGAAGGAACCCTCCTGCTGTAAGTACAATAGCTGTTATCTTTTCCTGTATCTTTGGATCCACATTGATCTGTGGATATGAGTAAAAGAATAGCTATTTTAAAAAGAAAATGTGACCAATTACATGTTTGCTTTTCTTATTTTGTCAGTAACTCAGAAATTTCAATAATTTCCATTAACAAGAAATGCCTACTTTCCAGGAGGAACACAGTTTTACAGTTTAGATTGCTCAACTCCAGTATCTACATCCTTCTCAGGCCTGCACATTCATTGACAGATATGCTTACCAAAACAATATTTACCTTACTTGTGTGTGCATATTTGAGACCAAAATCACTATAATTAGCTTTTATTTAAGAATACTTTATTAGGGAATAGAATTACGAACAATTTTTTTCCGGTCTTCATAAAAGGATTTATGTGGTAAAACAAGAATCAAAATCCTTTCCCATCCAACATGACACTTCACAACTTATTCAAACAAATTATACAAGTTGCTACTTAGTAAAAAAGTCTTTCCAGTGTTGAGATCACCTCAGCATAGAGAGCAGAAAACCATTACAAATATTCTCACAATTGCATCAGCTGTGTCCTCATATGTGTGGTCTTTGGGGACGGGGTATAGGCTGGAGAGCACCAGAACATTTTCCTTCCAAACATCCCCTCTCTGCCCCTCCCCAGATCACTGTGCTCTAGGCTAACACAGAAGTTGGTATTACTTTTGTGACAGAAGAGAAAAAATTGTATTGTTATCAAAATCAATGAATTAAGAAATATTAACAGATTGTATTATTTAGCTAAGTATTTTGAACTACTATTATTTTACAATATGTCAAAATATTGCTCATATAATATGGAACAAAGGCAGCAATGAACCATACTAAACACTTGTTTGGATGTCCTTGTTTAGTTTTCAACACTACTCTAGTTTACCTTATCTCGAGAGCATTGTAAATATTTGAAGGAAAATTGGCATGCTAAAATACAGCACAAAGATTTCTGATTCTAAAGTAAATGGAAATTCCCTAAAATCATAAAGTGTTGAAGCATTTCAACTCCAACTCTTCCTGAAGTAAATAAAGTATTTTCATTTAGTTTTACAATAACTCCATGAGGCCTTTCTCTCTTCTTTAAGCAGCAATAGACTGACCACAGGCTGTTTAGATTTGAACTAAAGCTTTCCAAAATATGAAACCTGTCTCAAAACCAGAACAGGAACCCATTTAATAAGAGATGTATTTTGGGTTACTTAGCATTAGCCTTTCTCACATCATTCAATTATTCACGTCAGCACCTTTACTGATTTTACTGCATGAAAACTTTAGGACCTGACAGTGTGTGACAGGACCCCAGGTTGGCCTCAGGTTTCAATTAGACCTGCCTGGACTTTCTAACTTTACAGCAAAAAAATAGATAAAAAGTTTCTGAACTCAGCATAGGAAGATGTTTTTAAAATACATCTCCAAATGGAGAAAAGCCAAGGTGGCTGGGCTGGACTGAACAGAGAAAGGCAAAGTGATCAGGGCCCAGCAGCACAGAAGCAGAAACTTCTGCTGGAGTTTCATGTCTCTGGGCTGGTCTCAGGCACTCCCCTTCACCCCAGCTGACTGCCCAGACCCTCATGCCCACTCTCAGAAGCTGCAGTTCCCAACTCCTTCCTGACATCTCCCTGTGGATAAATGCGGGCAGAGCACTTCTGTCCAAGGCCATCCCTCAGCCACCCATGTCTCCCAAAACTAAGGCAACAGCCAGGAGAAAAGAACCACAACATGATGATGTTCACTTGCCTGTTCTGGCATCCAGAAGGGTAGCAGCAGCTGCAAGGACTGCTCAGCTCCCCTTCCAGGTCACGCCAACAGCCCAGGCTTTCACATTGCTGGCTGCTGGGTTTGGCAGTGCTCCAGGCTCAGCCCGGGTGTCCAGCCAAGCTTGGACAAGAAGGTGGCAGCCACCCCAGTGCCACCTTTCACCAGTGCCCCACACGGGCTGCACACCCACGGCTGGGAGATGCAGGATGGGTGGGGAGCACAAGCCAGGCACCAGCAGCACCCAGGCTGTGGCTTCTCAGGAGTGCTGCAGCCTCAGCAGAGCTGTGCACAGACCTCAGCTCCCCCAGCATAGGGCACCTCAAGGAGATGCACTCACAGAGAGGTCACAAAAAACAGTTTAACACAGCCACGGGCACCGGGTACTTTCATGAGGAACCTCCAAGTCCATCTCACCAAGCAGCTGCTACTGAAAACCCGAGGAGGTTCAGGAGGTGAACCAGGGCACTTGAGCTGGAGGCAGGGTGATCCCCAAGGCTCCCCTGGCACCAAGGGCTCTAAGTGAGGGAAGCACTCAGCAGCCCTGTTCTAAAGCTGACCTTCCTGAACTGAGTTAAAAGAGGCAGTCCCAAAACTCACTGCAGAATCACGGTGATAGGAAAATCTTTCATAGCAATATACCTTTTCCTCTTACATCATTCAGTTTACAGTGCCCTCATATGCTTTTCAGCAGCATAAAGCAGATAACAAGACTAATCTTTTCATCCTTCAAATCAAGCTAGTTCTTGCCATCTAATTGCAATAACTAATTTTAAATTACATTTTATATCCTGCATCTATAGTTTAATAATGCTGAAGATTTCAGACAAGACCAAAATAGACAGGTGGATGAGGGGTTTTTGTACTGTATGTTTTCAAGCATTAATAGTATCATTTGCATGCTAAAGAAATGAAATTTTGATTTTGAAGAGCCCACTAAGGATTAATTTAATGATTTGGGCAGAGTTTAGGCTGCTTTGCAGTGGGAGTGAAGGTTAAAAGGTACATCTTGATAAATATTTAAAATCTTCAAACTTTTTGGTGTAGAGCCAACTGATTTGAAGTCCACTGCTCTGTTACCTATATAGAAAAATTTTAACTTGCTTGAAATTTGTACTTCTGATCTATAAATCCCGAGGTTCTGTACATGACTGACTTTTTATGTAGTGATTTATAACAACATTTTAAAACTTCCCTTGGTGCTTTTTCAACACCCTTATCTAATTCTCCAAGACTTTGTACTCCCATGGAGAAGAGATACAAAACTTCTCTTTCTAGTAGGGTCTCTTTCCTTACAGTTCAGGATGCAGCCCCAGCAATAACTAAATGGAGCTGTTGAACAGCTCATTCCAGCAGCTCACAGAAAAAAAATAAATTAATATTTATGGTAAATAAACATTTTTTGAGTGCTGTATACATTGATTAGTTGACATCTGGTATTCCCCTCACACACTGTCAAAACACAGAGCCAGTCCATATGCATGAAGGGTTTGGCAGCAAAGCACATTTTGTAGAGCATCAGCTTTCTTTTTCTATCAGATGAATTCTCCTTTCACTATAAATGATACATTACAAGAAATCTATTCAAAATACAACTAAACTGAGTCATCTTTGTAAATATCTCTGTAGGACATCATTAGTTTATAAGGACCATAAAAGTTATACACACAAGCAATAAGGACAAGCAAATTTATGCAATGATCTCATAAAATATCTAGTCTTTCAGGAAAAATACTGGAAGGGCCTCCCCCCAAAAAAAATAAAAGCCTGCCTGCTGCAGCTGATTTGCACCACAGACAGACATTACCAGGAAATGCCTGGTATAGATGCTCATGACTATATTACTAAAACTTACTCCAGGTGCATAGATCCACTGTCTGCTCAGTAATTCTTAGCTGTTTTCAGGTAGTACCTTGACCATTAAAATCTCAGACAGTTTTTCGGACTTTGAGACTTTGATGATGTTTCATTTAGAGGGTGGATTTTTTCCCTAAGCTAAGAATTCTATAATTTAGCCTTCTATTTTTTAATCTATGTGCAGAAGCTCAAGATAATTCTCTTTGACAATGTATAGCTCTGTACTTGGGAGTTTCAATGGTTTCAGTGCAATGGGTGAACTCTGCAGGGCACCCTGCTGAGTAGGGCACAGGTGAGCTATTTGTAGGGGAAGGTGTCTCTTCCAGCAATAGCATCAGAAACAGATAAACAGAATCTGTCCCTTAATAAATAATACCCTATGTGACTAAAAATTTGTGAAGATAGCCCCAACAAGAATCTCAAATCTGGAAAATTTTTTACAGTTCAAAGGTAAGAATTTGCGCTGTTTTTCAGATGCTTTAGAAAACCCATCTGGGTGCATACCTACCTCTTCTAAAAGTAGTTCTCTGGTCTTTCCACCCCCAAAGTAGCATAAAAATATACTGTCATATGAAACCAAAGCATGAGTACATGAGATTGTATATATTATGCTGATGAATAGTCTATATTAAGTATTATAAACTTAATACTAAATAGTAACAACATAATTATAGGGTGATCTTAAGCATAATCAATATCAACAGAGCATCTGAAACTTGCTATTAAATTCAAGGACACAGTGAGTGCATGTAAACTCCTAAATGCTGATTTTCATAAATTTCTGCTCTCAGAAGCAAAGGCAAAGGTGATGGATCATCCCTCTATGACTGGAACACACTGGGAGCCATGGCTTTGGCATATGCTTAACAGGAACAATCCTTATGCTTTTGAATCATCTTCAAAATCTGTCAGAAATTAAGATCATTGAACTTCAATATTTTTATCCTTAGTATAAACTCAGTTTTTACTTCTGGTAATATATTCTGAGAGGACTTTTACAAAGAATAAGGTTTTGATTATAGTTTAGCATATCAAGAAAATTCAGGACATCATTACAGTCATTAATTATCAGTAATTAATTTTAAATAGTTTCCTGCTCTTTATTAAAGAGGTACTGGTTTTATACTATATGTTTCCTTCTTCTAATTCAATTGATTTTGACTGTCTTGTCATTAAGATGCATATTTCTAGACTTATTACCCAAAAATGAAGACTCTTCCTTTAAAAATAAAAAATGCAACCAACCATTCTGATTGTCAGAATTTGAATCAGCTACAATATGCTGTATGCTATAACTTGATGAAGTCCATGAGCCAGGAGCTGCAACAAATAGAAACACAAGCTGAGTCATGAGAGAGGGCTGAAGAAAGTGGTTTAAGAATCCTTTACTTTCAAAAAAATTAAGCCTACTTCTTATTTCCTGACTAAAGCCATTATGATTTGTAGATGGATGGCAGAGCTGGCTTGTAAAGCCAGGGTGATTTGTAGATAGATGGCAGATCTAGCTTGATATTAAATACATCAGGGAGGAAATTAGGTTGGAAAAATCAATGGCTGGTTATGAATACTAAAATCAAAATACAACTTCTGGGGAATAGAGACAGGAGGCAAGCTTCCAAAACTGCCCCATTAAGAACTTCTGGACCTAGACTTATCTTTATTTAAACAGCCAGAGAAATATGCCTGCTCCTGTCTTTGGCAGAGCCAGCATCAATGTCCACTAGTTATTTAAATTAATTCCAAATGTGTAATTCCTTTAAAATATAAATTCATTTTAAAGAATAAGCAGATATACAAAAATTGGCTCTGTCTTTGTACTTATAAGAACAGAAAGTAGGAATAGTTTTGTTAATCCCAGGTATTATTTAGCAGATAAAGTAAAACTTACTATTTGATCAGTAACATCAGAAGAAAAATATGGAAAAATGGCACACCAAAAGACCCATCAAACTACCTCATGTGCACAACAGCAAAGCATTACTGCATTGTGTTGAGGCTGCCAGGAACACGCTGTCCCTGCTACAGCTGTTGTGTACTGTAAATGTGTGTTACTATACTCTAGGTTTGGTTGTCAGTACCTAGATTTGTAAAGTTTGGGCTCAGCAGCTGGTAGAGATGCACTCACCAAACCCCAAGAAGCCCACAGAGTAAATCAGAATATGAGCTTTACCATGAGGTAAAACTGTGACCAGCTCCAGGAGGGTAATCCTTATTCCAAATTGTCCTTTCTTGCTTTAGAAAATTAAGTAAAACTATCCTAACTGCTGGTAACAATTACCTGAGACACAAGGACATGATTAAGCCTCCAGCAGCAAATTAGATTCTGGATTCATGGTGGAAAAACCGTCCCCTTTCTCCCTCCTCTCCAAGTGTTTCTCACAGAAAGTGAAGCCTCTCTTACTCACTCTCTCTGAATATGCATTCCCTCCTCCAAATTTTAAAAGCCACCCTGCTCCACATCTACTGAGACACCCCTAAGTTTAATGAACTTCTGCTCCCTTCCAGTATTTAAAGAACATAAAAGGAATCAAGAAAACAAGACTCAACTCTGTGTTACTCAACTTCTCTAAGTGCAAAACTCATTGCAGAAATTGAATGCATCATCACAAGGATTCAGAATCACCAAGCACTCAGCTACACATGACAACTCGTAACAACAATGTTAGAAACTGAGAAAAAAAGTGGAATCTGTCATATCTGAAATATTGTGCCTATATTCAGCATTAGCATTTCATTTTGGTTGCAAAACAGTATTTTGCAAATGTGTTTTTAAATGACTGTATACTGTGGTTATTTCTGTTAAAATATGCTCAAAACTCTGTACCATTTATGATTAATGCATTATTGCCTCCAAGAGAACACAGATGTTGTGAATTACTAAAAATAATAAACAATATTTACCAAGTCCAACTAAATGTTGGTTTGAAAAGCATGGGGTAATAAAATGTCAAAGACCAAGACCTGCTGCTTTTATTAAATAATCCTTACATTAAAATGTGGATTGCTGTTC